GAGCCAGACAGAGAAGGTGAGGATTTGGCAGTCAAGATCATTCTGCTGGTCTGCCTAGCTTGGCATCCTGCCCTTTGCTGGGACTAAGCACAAGGAGTATGCGTAAAGAACTATGAAATGCTGTTCTGTGGGAGCTAGCAGCAATTAGATTCTCACGTGAAATCTGGTAGTTCAGTTACTACATAACCTTAAAGTTTAGAATGATTTAGCATTGAGTACAGTAAATAGTTGAAGTAATTAAAGATTATTTAGCACTAGGATTTGACAAATCCGTTGTAGTAAATTCTGTAGATTCGACATTGAGGGGTTGGAAAAGCTGTTTTTCTGTTTTAAAAACCCTGTTGTTTGATTGTCTTTGGTTGTCCTATGAGTCCCTTCACCTGGATGAATCCTTGGAGGATTTTATCTTCAGTGACCATCAGGAGGAAATGGAGAGATCAAATTAAATGAAAAAGGGTTTATATCTAGCTCAGGATCTGGGCAGAGCCAGAAGGATTAAGAACAGCTAACAGTTTTAATCTAGACAAGCTTACAATAAGCAACATGGGAAGAAGCAGCCTTCACCTTAATGTTTGTTGAAAGCCATGTACCTTCTCCTTAGTAAGAAGGTTTTGCTTCCACAGCTGCATTGACATACTGAGCATGGATATGACGCAAGGTACTCTATGGCAGGCTTTGGAGATCCCTCTTTTCTGTGGGCCAAATGCGAGAATAGGGATGCTCTGGATCCTTGTCTCTATAGGAGCCTGTCCTGTAAACTACAGAAAGGAGTTTGCAGTACCTGTATCAAAAGACAGGCTGAATCGCTGGGACAGGGTGGGAGAGGAAGAGCTTAGTGTGTTGCAATAGGTTTTTCTTTTTATTTTCTCCCATTGAGTGAACCTGACAGTTTTCCTGCTTTGCAAATGGTGGTGGGTGGGTGAGCTGCCTGTTTCTGTGTAGCAAGGATATGGTCTCTTTGCTCAGTGGAGCAAATTAGCACGTCCTTCTGAGTGCTTTGTCTTCTCCATACAGCCAGCTGTCTGCTATCAAGCCATCACAAAAAAGCTGAAGGTTTGTGAAGAGGTAAGGCAGATCTTGGTTTTGGTGGATTTTCCCTGTTGTCATGAGGACTTGCAGTTCCTCCAGAGCTGTGCACTCTATTTTTTTTTTTTTTCCTTCCCTCCCTCTTCCCCCTGCCTACCTCCTCCCAGGAAACAGGATCCACTTCCATCCAGGCAGCAGACAGTACAGCAGTCAATGGCAGTATCACGCCTACAGACAAAAAGTAAGATCTCCAACGCACTTCAGCCATTTCCCTTCCTCCTTCTCCTTCCCAGCTCATACATGCAGCCATTATCCACCTTGTCACTGAGAATAAATAAACCTAACGTTTCCCTCTAACTACAGATCTCCTCTGTCCTTGTGTGAAACTGATTCGTGGGCAGGGGGGGAGGGAGGCAGCTAAAACCAAGCAGGGGCTGTACACTAGAAAAATCCGGAGTAAAGCCTGGCGCGGATACATGTGCAATTCAAGGATTTTCTGCCTTGAGTTGCCCTTTTCCTGTAGGGCGTACTGTGGAACACTGAGCAGCAGTATTTCTGAGTGCTGTGTGAAGCAGAAAGATAAAAGGATATCTTTCTCCAGTAGTGCCTGGCAGTTGACTGGGGTTATTTAACTGCTCTCCTGAGCACGTAGAAGACAAGAGGAAGAGGGAGGCGTGTTCTCCCAGCACAAGAGCTTTGCTGTGTAGCACGTGAGCTTTCTGGTTTCTTCTAACGTACTCCTTCTGCTTTCTAGAGTGAGAGAAGCCTAGCTTGAGCTTCCTGTTTCGCTCTAACTTCCGCTCTGTTCAAATTGAGTTCAGGCCAGAGCTTGCTGTTTACTGTTGGGGTCGTTCTCATAGGATGTCAGTTCTCAACTGTACTCCAGGAGAGCCAAAATAACAATGAAGCTGTTCAGGTAAAACAGTCTCTCAGGAAAGTGTGGCTCAGAGGTGGGTTGGGAGAGAAAGAATATCCCCTCTATTTCAGAGACTTGAAAATAGATGGATCTCGTTTGGATTGTTTAAGGAGTCTGTAGTGACTTGCTCTGACCTGCCTAAATTAGCTTGCTCTAACAAAAGGCAGCGTGGCTAGCTGGGAGAGTGCAGGTGGCTGGTGAAAGCCACAGTGCATCTGTAGCGTGGCTAATTCTGCAGAATGAACTGGGGAATTGGCAGGCAGGTTTTGTCATGAAGTTACATCAGAGGTGTAACTGCAGAATCTCGGGCTGGAGTTGTGGTTTTGGTATGAAGCTAGCCGCTTGATGTACAAAAGGATCCTTGCAGCAACGACTGCAAAGGAATTCCAACTGTAGGGATGGAACTCGTTAGTCCAGTGTCTTTTTCTTGAAGAGAGGGAGCAAAACTCTTACCAGCTTGGAGGGGGCGGGGTAGGGATGGGGAGGCATATGGGAAGGCAGCTTATGTCTAGTAGTGTTGTGTTGTCACTCCTGGTGACCTGTACTGCGTATGACTTCCTGTCTCTCCGTGTTTGTCCAAAATTGCAGCTGTAGAGCAGGGACTAGGTCTTTGGTCCCTGCGTGATGCTTAGCCCTTGCTGGGCTTTATTAAAATAAAAGATTGTAACGTATCATTCAATAGTATGAGCAAGTCATTCTATATGTGACTTAGTTTAAAAATCAGAAGTTTAATTCAAGAAGCACCTGCTGATCTTCAGTAAGGCAATGGATGGCAACAGGAAGCAGCAATTTTATTAAAACAAACCAAACAACAGCAACAAAAAAAAACCAAACCCAAACAAACCCAGAGTACCCAGACTTTTAATATTTAGGTGCTTTTCTGAAGCAGACTAAAAACTTTCTTCAGGAAGTTGTTGGGGATGCTTCATAAGCAAAATAAACACCAGTTTGCTTTTAAAGCTCAATATCTGCCCATTCTAGCTGTGGCCACAGTGGAACATGTTTGGTTGTGTTGTGGTTTTGGGATTTTTTTTTGACTAGCAATGCTCCAGGGTTTGCTCTTTTATCATTTCCAAGACCGTGAGAGGCTGACAGTAATTGCTTTCTGTTATATTAATGTTTATCTCTTCCCCTCAGGATAGGATTTCTGGGACTTGGCCTGATGGGAAGTGGCATTGTCTCTAACTTACTGAAGATGGGTCACACTGTCACTGTCTGGAACCGGACTGCTGAGAAGGTAGGCATGTGCTTAAGGTACAGGTGATACTTACACACGTACTTACCACCTCTAGCTCAGGGAGGCCCGGAATCACCAGTCAGTGGTGCCTGGGAGAGGGTGACAAAGAAACACAAGTGTGTGGTTGCCACCTTGTTCTATTACTATTTCCTGGGTGCTCGTTGGTGGCCACGTTTGACTAGATGAAGCTGTAATCTGTCCTAGTATGGTCACTTTTGCGTGAACAGTCCCCACTCCATTGTCATTTTGTATGAGATGAGAGAGTTGTCAGAAAAACTACAACTGTATATGTGGTGAGGGATGCAATGTAAAGTGCTTCTGGAAATACTGCTGATGTAAATAGCCAAGTCATTGCGTCATGGAGCCGGACAAAAAGACCAGGCATTTGGGAGCTGATCCTAGGAGTGATGTGGTAAGATGTACTGCTTGGCCACCGCTTCATCTACACATCCATTGTGCTGTTCAGGTTGTGATATCAAGGGTTCTGTTGAAAACCTGCTGTGTCGTAAGAGCAGGATGAGAAGGGTTTACAGGTGTATTCAAAGTGAAAACGGAGCTTGTGTTACACCTATGTTCTAGTCAGTGTTATTCTTTGTAGTGGAGGAGGAAAAGTGGGTAACTGGGGCGTGTGTGGTACTGGGATGACACTGAAATATCCAAGGCAGGAAGGGCACTGTGGTTACTTTGTTAAAAGGGATTAAAAGATTTTTTATTTTTTTTTTAACTGCAAAACATGGGTGGTATGAGGGGATAGGATAAGAAGGGGCTAAGATTTTGGAGCAGCTGCCCACTAAAACTCACGTCAGTCTCCGCTGTGCATATTCCTGTTTACTGTCCAGCAGTACCTTTTGCTATGTCTGTTTAACAATTTTAGCCCTCATCTCTTCTCCAAAAACCACAACATTCGATCTCTTATTATTTCACCTAAGCGTTCTCTTTTCCTGTGTCTGTCTTCTGAAGTTTTTCACTGGGGAGTTCAGAAGAGTTGCCTCTGTGTGTGAGTGTTGGGGACAAGCCAACAGAAGACAACCCAGTTGCTGTGTGATTCATACACCTGACTCCTTTTGAGTTGGGTCCAGCAGCAGAGTTTGTTTCAGCAAAATGCTAGGGAACTCATTTCTCTGTATTTAATTTTTCTTATGTTTGGATTTGTGACTTTTGCAGTGTGATTTGTTCATCCAGGAGGGAGCACGGCTGGGAAGAACCCCTGCTGAAGTTGTCTCCACCTGTGATATCACCTTTGCCTGTGTATCAGATCCGAAAGCAGCAAAGGATGTAAGGATTAGCTCTTATTTTTCCTCCACCAGCTACACTACAAGATACAGTCACTGAATGCCAGTTCTGGTTCCTGCTAACCGCGGCAGCCTGGGTCATTGTAGATGCCGGGCAGTGCAGCTATGTAAAAATAAATGTCCCAACAAAAATCATACTTTTAAAAAAATAATCCCTGGGGGATTGGTGTTGATATCCCTCTAGGAGTCTACCACTGCTGTGCCAGGCTCACTTGAACTGCTGTCCTGCAGGACTGGAGTTTCTTGGCAGACACCCTGCTCTTCTGTTCCCCACAGCTGGTGCTTGGTCCGAGTGGAGTGTTGCAGGGGATTCGCCCGGGGAAGTGTTACGTGGATATGTCCACTGTGGATGCAGATACAGTCACAGAGTTGGCCCAGGTAATTGCACTGAACTGAACTTCTGACGTCTGTGATTCAGCAGCAGTATTGCAGTCCTGGTTGCTTCAGACAGTAAGCTGTTGATAATAAAGATGGTTCTGAAGATTTTGGGGCTTCTTTTAGGAGATGCTCAAGTCCCAGGCAAATAAGACAAAATAAACTGTCAAATCTTGACCACCAAACAAAATTGGATGAGATGTTCTGTGATGATGACAGCAAAGCCTGTAGATGGGGCAGGGCAGTTAGCTGGCAGTAGTTCAAACAGACAGCCAAATTTTGATCCCTTAAGAAGTGTTTATAGCCAGATTGGTGTTCTGTAGCAAACTGGAGAAGAAAGCACTGTCTGGATAAATAACTGTCCTTAAGCTTATTTAAATGTTCTAGTTGGGGAAAAAGAATGCCTTCATGTTTCATTCAGAAGTATGATTATAGAGAAGATTTCTGTAGAAGTGTTCTGATTGTTTCTGATATGGTATCTTTGATTTCCTCTCGTGTTGTTGCACGAGGAAGGGGAGCTAGTTCTGGTGAAGTTTTAAGCAGACATATTGGTGATGCAGTAGTGTGTAACACAAATTCGGAGAATGAAGAGTCGTACCTATTAGTAAACCTCTGGCTGAAGAGATCCATCAGAGGCCTTTTCTCTTTGGGGAGAGGCAGGAAAATATCGTCACAGTCCGTCTTCTAAGATCCGTACACACATGTGCAACTTCAGCACTGGTTCCTTGGCTGTTAAAGGGTGCCATGACAAAAGCATGTAAGTTCAGCTGCTTAAGACATGCACAGTAGTGATGGGTGCAGGAAAGCCTTGCTGGAGTGCGAGGGCAACTTTTGATGGATGCAGCACATCACGTGTTAGTGCTTTCCTCTCCTGTTTGTGTGTCTGAGCTGTTTATT